CTATTTTCTATTTTTTTTCTTTTTGTTTAAACGAATAAAAGAACAAAAAAATTTTCTTCTCTTGGTCAAAATTAAATTATAGCGTATGGCAAAAGTAAGTCTTAATGAGAGGGAATAAATTTAAGAACTTACTATTCAATGGACGATAAAGTACGTAAATAAAAGTCGGTAGGACGAAGAGTAATGTTTCAATACACAGGGTATTATCCAAACGAGCAAGGAAATGCCATTTCACTTTCACACTTATCCCACAAAATCCGTAAACTTCTTTCTTCTCCCCCAGTAAACGAAAACAAATGACAATCTTACTACGAAATAGGTCTGAGTGAATTCCCATTACTTTTGATTACCGTTAATACTCGAGAATTTAGGCTAAACCTTGCAACTAACTCTCTCTCTCTCTCTCTACCCTAAACTTTTTTTTTCATCTCAAACTATCGTTTCGATATTTAAGCCTCCAATAATGGGTGAAAAAAATCGTTATTTTTTTTTGAAATGGGAAAACGTTTCTTCAAACAATTTTTTTTTTTTTAACAATGAAGTTGGCGTGAAGTAAAAAATAGTTCTTCATTAATAGACTTAAAAGAATTAAATTCTCATTAAAGAAGTAAAGAAATTAACCTAAATAACTTAAAAATAAAATAAAAAAACTCAAGGTAGAGATAAAATTTTTTTCTTTAGTAAAATATTTACATTGAGTTGCAGTGAAATATTCTATTTTAGTACTTTAACAGATAAATCTGTCAGCTTCTGTTACACTCCAGCTTCCTGTCTACTTAAGCACTTTTAAAATATTAATCATTCTTACAATGGTTTAAGCTTTTTTTAAAATGAATTAAATGGAAATTTTATTGAATCAGAATTTTTCGCAGAAATTCTATAAAAAGTAATGCTTCTATCAAGAAGCAATAAAATGAAAAGAAAAAAAAATAAGTGAGAATATTTTTGTTTCAAATTGAGATAAAAAATAAAAGATAAAAAATTTTATAGGTATAAATTCGGATAATTTGGGGACAAAATATATGCTTCAGGGTATATAGTTTTTAGTTTTTGTTTGATAATGTAGTAGATTTAAATGATAAATGTGAACTTATCACACTATAGGTGTAGTGGTAAACTTTAGTAGGTTTGCTGATATCGCACTATCGCAGGGAATCTTAATTTAAAAATTTCTTTGATATCCTTAAGCTTATTTTATTTAGTAGGGTATAGAGCAGATAAAGAGTTATAAAATGGAAGAGATATATTTCTTTTTTTTATTTTATTTTGGTTCTACCGGTGCACTTTCAATGCGGCATGCTGCAGTTGAACTTATACGAATTTTAACTACATATTATACACTTTACAAAGGTACATAGAGACCAGAGTGGTGAAAATAAAGATCATTGTTGGCCCACTGCCAAAAACTTTTTTATTATGGAGCGGAATATTTTTTTATCAAATAAAAAATAACTGCGTATATCGAAACTGTTATGTCATAATATTCGGGAATTAAATACGCTTCGACCTTTTCTTTTCATTAACCAAAGAAGAATTTTTTTCTCTGTTGTCGGGGAAGTCAGGAAATTCAGGGGAAAGTCAGGGAAAGTCGAATTGATCAGGAAAATTAGGGAAAAGTCAGGGATTTTTATTAAAAGCACTGGAAAAAATTAAATTTTCTGAATTTATTAGAAAATTCTGAATTTTTGTGTCTTTTTGTTTGTCTCATAAAAATAATTATGAATTAGAATTATGCCACATATAATTTTAACACAAAACCTTCAACTTTTTCTATTTCTGACAATAATTTAATTATTTTTATAAATAATAACATTCTTCAGAAGAATTCAATTATTTTTGTAAATAGTAAACTTCTTTTCAAAAATTCAATTATTTTAAATACAATTTTGAAAACATTTCATAAATGAATTGAATTTTTTTGAAAATTTTTAACAAAATTTCAATCATTTTCTAAAATTTTCATAAATCCTTCGAAACAATTCAATTATTTTTTTTAAATATTAAAATCGTTGCAAAAATTCAATTATTCTCTGTATTTTAATACAATTTCTTCAATGAATTAAATTATTTTAGAAAATTGTAATAAAATTCTATAAAGAATTTAATTATTTTCTAAAAATTTTTTGAAAATATTTAATAAAATTTCACGAAATAATTAAATTATCTTTATGAATAGTAAAATCGTTGCAAAAATTAAATTATTTTTAATACAATTAAAAAAAAAAATTTCATAAAAGAATTCAATTATATTTTCTAAATTTCTCATAAATCCTTCGAAACAATTCAATTATTTTTTTTAAACAGTAAAAATTCTATTTTTTTTCTTAAATCTTTATAAAATTTTTAAGAAAATTCTTCGCAAGAATTGAATTATTTTTTATAAATGACAAAACTCATTATGTGAATTCAATAATTTTTAATACAATTTTAATAATATTTTTCAAAAAAATTCAATTGTTTTCTAAAATTTTAATGAATAATTCAATTTTTTAAAATGTGTAGTAAAATTTTTTGCAAAAATTCAATTATTTTCTAAAATTTTAATAAATGATTAAATTTTTAAAATTAATAGTAAAATGTTTCTAAAAATTCAATTATTTTATATATTTTTAAATTTAATTATTTTATTATATTTTAATACAATTTTTTTGATGAATTAAATTATTTTATAAGATTGTAATAAAATTCCAAGAATAATTTAATTATTTTCTAAAATTTTTAAAAATTTTGAAATAAAAATAAAAATTTTAAATAAAAATTTAAAAATAATAAAATTCAATAATTAAATGTTTAATTTAAATTATTTGAAAACACGATTATTTTAAAAGCTTAAAAGAAATTTTTCATAAAATTCAATTTCTTTTAAAATTTTTAATTAAAATTATGAAAGATGAAATTCTCGAAAAGAATTTAATTAAGATTTTCAAAAATTATAATAAAATTCTTCGCAAGAATTCAATTATTTTCATAAATAATAAATTTCTTCGAAGAAATTTAATTATTCTCAAATTTTTTAATAAAGATCTTTGCAAGAATTCAATGATTTTCAATACGTTAATTTTAAAATTGAAAATATTTAAAAAGAAAAATGATTAAAAATGTTAGAAAACAAAAAATTAAACGACAACTAACTTTTAACTACGAAGAGATTGAAACAGATTGGAAAAGATTATCGGAATGCAACGATTATTAATATAAAATTTCACAATTTACGAAATTCGCAAATAAATTAATTAGAACATTTTTTTGCGTATTTAATAATTTTTAGAGTAAATCAGAATATTCTTTAGTGTCAGGAAAAAAGTGAAAATTTTTTCTGGAAATCGGGGAAAAAAAGTAAATTTTTTTAACAACCCTGAGAGACATATTATTTAATATATTTTAGAATTCGAAGTAAATTTTTTAGTTTTTAGTTAAAAATGATTTCTATTCACGGAAGTTGGATAAAGTTTCTATCTAACATTGAAAAAAGTATTTTAAGTATGATTTGCACATTCAAAATGATCATACCCATATAGACGTGGCATGAATTATTCAGCAGAGCGTCGACTAATTAATGACATTTTTTCATCGACACTACTTAGTGCTGGTGCAAGAAGCAAGAATCTTCCTATAAACCGCACTTTCGAATATTAAATCATTCTAACCTTGACCGTAAAATAGTCTTGAATTACTTATAAACCACGACTTACAGAAAAAACCGACAAAATCTTCTTCTGCTTAGAATCCCAAACTTTTAAAATTTAAATCCCAAAGAGAGAAATTAAAATTAAATTAAAATTAGTTCCATAGAATTCTATTATTCCAAAAAATACCCTCAATAGTTACATTAAATTATTAATAGTTTAATTAAGTTAAATAAAAATTAAGAATTTTTAAAAATTTTTTTCTAAAATTCTGTTTGACTGGTGAATAAATAAAATAGTTTGATCGAATATACTTGTCAATTTTTTCTATAATAGATACAATGAATTCCACTCCAAAAAATTTGAATAGTATTCCAATATTTCTTTCATGTCTTTACCACCAATTTTTTTTATTTATTTTATCTTGAAATTTTTTTTCTATGCAAGAAGGATGAGAAAACTTATAGATATTCCTAAACAGTGACCCTTCACCTGCTTTCTCATGACCTCTCTGAAACATACAGCAAAGACATTTTTAACTCTAAACTTTTATACTTCGAGACAGACAGAATAAAATATTGTACGCTTTATTATATTCCTCTTTGCGCAATTTATTTATTCATAGTTTTAAAATGAAGAAAAATTACCTCTCCCCACTCTCTAGAATTACAAATTAAAATAAAATTTTCTTAATGTAAATCGATCCTGGGGGAAGAAAATTAAAAAAAAAAGTCAGAAGAAGTCAGAGAAAAGAGTCAGTCAAGTGCATATTTCAAGAAGTTTTTGAATCAGGATAAATTTTACATAGAAAAATTAAAAAAATACTTTAAAAAACTTAAATTAAAATACTTAGAAAAAAATTTAAAATAAAAAAAGAATTTTTTCCAGAAAAGAATCTCACTTCTTTAATTTGTCATTTCTATATTAAAAAACATGGTATTACAGATAAAAGCGTTAATACTTTTTTTCACCCCTTTTTACTTCACCCTTTCCATGGATTCGTATATCAAAACAAGATTCCAGTGGTAGAAAGAAATTTTATGTGATATCGAAATATTGATCGAAAAATATATAACGTGATGTTGAAAAATTCTTTATAGAAAGAGAGGAGATGAAAAAGGATGGAGAGAAAATAAAAATTCTTGAATAGAAAGAAAAGAAGGATAAATACTGAAAACAATGCAGCAAAGGTGAAATTTATTATCAGAACATGTGAAATAGTAAAATAATAAAGTATCCGGACAGAAAAGTTAAAGAAAAATAATTGTAACTATAGACAAGGAAAATTAAATTATTTTCGAAAGAAGAAGAAGAAAAAGAAGAAGAAAAAGAAGATAATGCAAATACATGCATAGTGATGATAGGAGAACTTACCTAGGAATTTGAAAAGCAATTTCGTCAAGGGAATCGCTTGGCTGAAGAGGAGCTCTTTCGAAAAGTTTACTTGGGCCCCGATGTACCCTATTGGAATACTGCATTGACCCAGCAGTGGGTTGGGGTTGGTCCCCGCAATTGGTCCCTCGTTGACCACACTGACCTCCTCGTTTTTGTTTTTTCTTTCGATCCTCCTCCGCCTGACGGCGAAGGTTGTGCAGTCGGAAGAAAAACACCGACATGTCTGCTCGGAAAACGGACATGAACAAGCAAATTCAAAATTTGCTTCTTTCTTTTGAAAATTATCAAATGATTGGAAAATTTCTCTAATCTAATTCACTGAGAAAACATTATACTTCATTCAAATAGAAAAAATAAATTTTAGACTACCAAGAAAGAAAAAACACATTTATTACACCAAAGACAAACTAATATTATTCTGGTCAACACCAATTCACATCTTCTTAAATTAAGTGATTTTAATTGAAATTTTCAATTTTAATTATTAATTTAATTTTTTAATTTTTAATTGAAATTAGTTTGTAAGCTTAATTTCAATATATAGAAAATATCTACTGCTTTGATACAAAAATATTATTTTCTTAATTAATTTTGTTAATTAAAGATATAATTATCTTTAATTTAAACATATTTTCTGTTTTGATTTAAACAAAAAATTATGTTTGATTCAAACTTAAAAGTTGATTATAAATAATTTAAAATCAACAATAACTTATAATTGAATTAAATATATTATTTCTTTAAATAAACCAAAAAATATGTATGAATTAAACTTAAATATGTTTCACTGTATAGCAAAGGTATTTTAAGTTTGATTTAAACAAAATATATTTGAATCAAATAAATCGTTTTCTCAGTGAAACATTTATAGCTTTCTCATGCAGTTGTACATCATTTTCTGTTCGATTTTTTACAGGCTTGCGGTCAAAAATGCTTTAATGTAGCGAATATGATATAAAAAAAATACTCTCTAAATTTACATTAGTAAAAATGTTTACTAATTTGAATTAGTGACTGACTTTTTGCTTTTGAATTAGTAAAATTTACAAATAAATATAGTAATTTCTTCTAATTTATTAGTAAAAATGACTAATTCAATAGCAAAAAGTAAATTAGTAGAAATTACTAGTTATTAGTAAACTTTACTAATTCAGAAGCAAAAAGTCAGTCACTAATTCAAATTAGTAAACATTTTTACTATTTTAAATTTAGAGAGTGCAAATTTGTCAGCCAGAAATAGAGAATAATTTTCAGCAATTAATTTCATGCTCCTGGAAAGTGCGTGCACCGTTTATAATTTAATATTTACAAGTCAAGCATAAAGATGCAGTAGTTTATAGTATTTTTTATGATTACTGAGAGGATCACTGCTCAAACAAAGCGATGAAAATTTCCTAAATGTCGAAATTTGATCCAACCTTCGTAGTACCTAAAAATCTAGTTGCAAATTTAATGGAACATTCTGTAGTTACTAAAATTCCCGCATTCGAAATTTACAGCAAAAGTTCATTGAAGATTGAAAAAAAAAATGTTTATGAAAGTTTGGCTGTATAACTATTCTTTTCTTAAGAAGTAATAATTGTGAAAAGAAAGTTTGTATTTTCTTAGATTCAGTAGTAAAAGCGATTTTTAGTCAGACATTTCATTTCAGTAGCAAATTAAATTTAGCTTAAGTAGTAAAAGTAAATTATAGTCAGACAGGTCAAAAATTTTAATATGCTTAGTTCGAGTATGTTTAGTTTACGTAAATATGATCAATTTAAGTAGTACAAGTCAATTATAGTCAGACAATCTATTTAATATTAATTATAACTATAATTTTATTTTACTTTGTTTTATGTAATTATTTTTAATTTAATAAAAAAATTAAAATTTTTTTTTTTTTTTAATAAAATTTGCTTAATAACTGAACTTTCACTAGTATATTACGTCGATTGATTTTTTCTTTTCGTATTTGCTTCAACAAAATTATGGTAAATAGAGTGTTCCATACTTTGTATTTAATTAGATTCAGTAGTTAATGAGTATTCATCACAATTTTTATTTAATTCCCAATTGTATTTAGTAAATAAGTAGAAAGAGTAAATTATTGTCAGACAGAACGTACAATTTTGTATAATATAACTGCACTTTCAGTAGTATATGTCAATTAGCGTCAGACAGATATTTCAAAAAGTTAAACTTGACTGGCATTTTCACTAGTATGTCAACAATTGGCAGACATATTGTTAAACATTTTTCTAAAGCTACTTTGGGCAGTGCCAGTGAGTTACAATCGAACACAAAGCCTAAAAATTTGTATTTTTTTAAATTCAGTAGTAAAAATGAACTTTTAGTCAGACATTTAATTTTATTTAGAAATAATGTTTAGCTTAAGTAGTAAGAGTTAATTATAGTCATACAAATCTTGAAAAATTGTTTAATAACTTTACCATAATGGTAAAAAATTTGTATTATAATACTTTCAGTAGTGAAAATCAGTTGCAATCAGACAGAGAAGTAAAAAATTGGTATTTTATTAGATGCAGTAGTAAAATCGACTTTTAGTCAGACATTTCATTTAATTTGCAATTATATTTAGTAAATAAGTAGTAAGAGTAAAATATAGTCAGACAGAACTTACAAATTTATATAATAACTGCACTTTTAGTAGTAATTGTCAATTATAGCCAGCCGATACTTAAATATTTGTATAATATCTGCTTTATTAGTAGTACATATCACTTATAGTCAGACAAAAGTTTTAAAAAATTAAAAATGAATGTTTTTCGGTAGTATATATCAATTACTGTCAGTCACATTGTTGAATATTTTCATAATAATATTTTAAGTAGTAAAAGTGTGTTGTAGTCAGACAGAGTATTAAAAATTTTTTATGTTATCAGAATCAGTAGTTAAAGAGTTTATTAACTAGACTTTAAGTAGTACATGTCAATGTTAGTCAGACACATGTTTCAAAAAGTTTAAATGTCTCGTTTGTAAGTAGTATATAGCCATTATTGTCAGACATATTGTTAAAAAATAACTTATTATTTTAGAAGAAGTAGTAATTTTTAGCATAAGTAGTAATAATTTAACTAGTAAAAGTGAGGTGTAGTCGTACATAACTTAAAAATTTGTATATTAATTGCAATGTCAGTAGTAAATAATAAATATTAATAAAAATAAAAAATAATTTTTAAATAAAAATGACTGTTTTTTTAGTAGTACGTATCAATATTTTGTTTAGTATAAGTAGTAAGAGTCAATTTTAGTCCGTTATTTGCAAATGTTTAGTAAATAAGTAGTGAGAGTAAATTATAATCAGACAGAATGTAAAAGAAAAAAGTTAGTCAGACATTTAATTTAATTTTCAGATGTTTAGTAAATAAGTAGTGAGAGTAAATTATAGTCAGACAGAATGTAAACATAATATAAAACGACTTTCAGTAGTGATTGTCAGTTGTAGTCGGACAAATCTTAAAAATTTTTATACAAGTTATTTCAGAAGTACAAGTAAATTATAGGCAGACAGACAGATCTTTAAAACTAGTGAATAAATTTTATTTTCATTAGTACATATCAATGACATACTGTACTGTCATCATGGATAGACTTTTTTTTATAACACCACGTTCTCCAAAAATCGTAATTCATTCTAATCGTTGACAATTTAGACCCCTGCTTCCTTAAAGCTCTTTAGCCGAAGATTGTTCCCACCCTAGGACCCTAGGACAGTAATATAAATATCCACCTTAAATCTAGGTCTTATCCTTAAATCTGGAAAATCTCAAGACCAATAGAAGGGACTTTAGGATTCGCTAAAGGACGATTCGGTCAGTTTGATAGTCAACTCTCTGAATAAATTAGATATAATGGATGATAGTTCGTGTATTGCGCTCTGCTTTACGATCTCCTGAGTTCGGCACCTTTAAGTACGGTCAGTAATTAGATAAGTGACCCAGCATCTGCTATCCAGTAGTGTCCTAATGTTTTCATACTACCATCAAGATATGTCAAACTGGAGGTTTCATGTCGAAGTACAATGATGCGCACTATCGATTAATTGTCCAGCACACACCACTGGAACTCGTCTGTCGATAAACCGATTCAACTCATGAGAGGTTATCTCCATTTCTCTCATTTCCTTTGGGAAGAAAAGGCCAACGCAGAATGTAAAAAAATATTTTAAGGTCAATTGACGTCTTCTGTCAGTAAAAAATAATATAATATCAAATTTTCACTGACAGAGGGAATTTAAAATTTTGTTTACGATCTGCACTTTCAGTAGTGTTGGTCAATCATAGTCTACTGTTAAAAATGTGTACAATAGTATTTTAAGTAGTTAAAGTCTGTAACAATCAGACAAGGTTGCCAATAGTTTGTATTTTATCAGATTCAGTAGTAAAATCGAGTTTATGTCAGACATTTAATTAAAATTCCAATTATATTTAGTAAATAAGTAGTATGAGTAAATTATAGTCAGACATAACCTATAAATTTGTATAACTGCAGTTTTAGTAGTAAAAGTCAAGAACAGTCAGACTATAATACTAAAAAATAATTTGCTTTTGTCTTTTAAATAATTTGCTCTTGTCATTTGTCTTAAAATGTAAAACACAAAAAAGAAAGATTTAAATCTTTCCACTTTTTTTTGTGTCTTAAATTTTAAATCTAACGGAGAAAATTGTTGATTTGAAATTGAGTGTAAAGTTGTAATGAAATTGAGACAAGTCATTGATCAAGAAAATCTCTTTATTGCGACGAGTGGAGGAGCAGACGAACAACATTCATCTTTAAACTTTTCCGATTTCGTGCTCATTTTAGTCTCGAGTCGTAAAAGTTCAACTTTGACTTTCACCAATCTATCTGGAAGGACGTGATTGTAAGTGGTCAGAGAAAAGTCGAGAAATGAAGAACAGACGTGGTTTCTAAACTATCAGCAAAGAGAGAGATGAGAGGAGGGACAAAGTAAAAGCAGAACGAGAGATGGAGACTTGCTTCCAAGTTCCTAGGGTTCAGGTATCAAGGGATGAAGTTCATTTAGAAGATTAATTGGACCAGATTGGATGGTGCAAATCAAACTGTGAAAATTAAATTTCATAACAATCTTGAGAAAATTGATAAGAATTTTCTTTTTTTAAAAACCATTCGATTAAAAAATGAATCAATTCTACTGTTTTTTGATTGAAAAACAATTTTAGAATCAAAAGTCATTCTCTAGACGAATCTCGAATCAGATCT